CTTGTGCCTCAAGGCAGAATGTCTTATCTCTGGGAAATATTAAAAACATCCCACGCAGAATCGCCTTGGTAAACATGTTCCAAACCATTTCCAATCTTCTGCCAACAGGCCGTATCGACTGGTTCCAATTAAAACGTGAGGAAGGAAATGTGTAGGTCAAACGTGTAGAGCCTTTCTGGCGACAACCAAACCGTTCAGAGTGTAATAAATTATAGCACAGTTTGTGGATGAAAGCGCATCCATGTCCGCCTCTTTCACTTCCTGATTCAGGAGCTAACTGGAGCTCTTGAATTTATTGACGATTTTTTTCTCCTTTACGCGCCGGTTCTGAAACCAGATTGTCACTTGTCTCTCTGTGAGATTTGTCTGCGCGGATATCCTTCTCCTTTTGTCTTTGGTGATGAATTTATTGGTGGCATACTCTCTTTCCAGTTCTTTGAGCTGCACCTTGGTGTATGGCACACGCTTCTTCCTCCCACGACGGATAGAGCTGTCTCCACCAGATATAGTGTCTGTGGAAAGAAATGGAGTAAAAGATTTTAATCTGAGCCACAAAACCTACACTATTAATGCTGACATTAAAAAAAAAATCTTATTTCAAGCGCTCTATGAATCGAAAAACAGCCTTTTACATTTAGTAATGCATGCACATGTTTCGCAATTGCACACTTCCTTCAACACTGCATATTTTTGTGTTAATAAAAAGCAATAAAATACCTTGTAACGAGGATTTCCACAGAGGGTTTGACTGTGGCTGCTCCTTGGTGCAGTAAACCTGACCACTCCAACCGTTGGTGATGGCCCATGGCTGGTAGGGCTCCATGGGCAGCAGAGACTCGTGTCTTGGCTCAGATGGAGCACTCAGGGCAGGTACGACAGGGACGTCCAAGTAGCTGGGCTGGTAAGGGGCCGAGGAATAGCCCTGATAAAAGGCAAATTCTTTCGCCCTGGTGGAGAACTCCTCACCAGAGACCGACGAGTCCATGTATTTATCGCCATAACCGGAGGGCTGCGCGCAAGCCTTTACGCTGCCGTGTGACATCCTACATGGGTAATAACTGCTGCCAAAATATCCATAGGGCAAAGATGCATTGGGCGAACTCTGAGTGGCAGAACAGGGGCTGCATTGTTTGCCAGGCTCCCCCATGCCAGAGACTGGCACCTCACTCGCAGTGTAGGTGGTGCTGGGAGCCAGTGAGGTTGGATGCGCTAACAAATTCCGGCACTGATTTGCAGCAAAATTGCCTCCAGTAAATCCTTCCATGTTCTTGCTTCTCTCATCCAAACCGTTGTCGTACAGGAACATCACCGGGTCAATCCAGTGCGAGTGGAGGAGTAATGAGGCGGTCATAGCATGCCCTACATTGAGACGACCAACTCTTTTTCAAAATCCCCTCGACTGAGCAGAGACAGGGACTCGGGCAGAGTAACGATACCAACACGGCTGAGTACATAAAGATCGCGAGGTTATTGGCCAGGGCCAAACACGTGATATGCAAAGGAGAGGATAAACGTCTAGACATCAGATAATGCAGATCAGGCTGTGTGTTTGTGAAGATACTGTACATCCCTATTTATGCAAAAAGGCTCTGTGGGTATTTTTTTCGAATCTCAAGTGATTTTGAAATCTCGAACTGAGTGAAACTTTCACATGAAGGCCATATTATCTTTCATATAGTGCAACAAAAACAGTGTTGTTTTTGATTAATTAAGTAACACATGTAAGTGATAAGTATTTTATTTTTCGGCGGAATTGGTGCGCAATGACGCGTGCCAAAATAATTACGCTCGAACTTTAGGGAGAAAGTAAAACAATTCGTGATTCTTGATTCGATTTTTTAAAGGTTTGGTATGTAAATATTGAGCTTTTTTTATAGGCTTTAAGTAAAAAAGTGCATTTCCCCCAAATTTATCATCCTAATATCAAGAGTATCTGAACTGAACTGGCTGTCTTTGAATGGCGATTTTATGCGCAATTTTTACGCACGGGAGCTGTACAGAATAAATACATATTTCTCTGTCATGGATAGATTTAAAATGAAGACTATGACAACAAACACAAATCAAATGAAACTCACCTTTGGCACAGCGATGTGTGAAATGTAAACACAAGCTCAGTGTCCACAAAATACCAGAAATATGGCACATTTGGTTGCACTCGAGTTAGACGCGGCTGGAGGCCAAGGTCAAGTTGAAAGTTGCAGTCTGGCCAAATAGGAAGAGAAAACAGTGGTGGAAGCCGAAGAGGAGATTACATCGGCACATTGTGCTGTCCTTTTTCTTTTTCTTTTTTTAAAAAAGACGAAGAACTGGAGAGTTCTTTTCTATTTCTTTAGTCATACTTTAGAAATAACGCAGAAATGGTTCGAAATGGCTAAAATGAAAGCTGGAGTAGAAATATTTGATAATTTCAGCAAAGTTTGAAAAAGAAAGAAAAAGCAGTGACTTAAATATGTCATGCCTACATGCCCCCCTTCTGTTTTTCTAGCAAATTTCAGCTCAAACGCTGTGGCATTGGAACACAAATAAACAGGTTCTATATGTACATGCATGAAAATAACGCGTTTATTTGGCACTAAGTATTTAGCTCCAGGAGGAGTGTTGTGATGGACTGACGAAGTGAATGTGTTCGTGGGGGATTAAAAAACAGTTTTAACTTTCAGAATTCATTTCACTTCGGTTTTTTAAGCAGAGACCACAGACACAGAGGAATGTATACCCAACTAAATTTGAGCACCTTTTTATTTTTAATAGAGTTTTCCCACCTTTTGAGGCTGTAAATCTTTATGGCCCAAGTTCATAGCTTGTAGGCAAGAGTGAGCAGTCTACATTTCAGGAGGCAGAAAAAAAACAGCATAATGTTTTTTTTTAATCGGTTCATGTCAGATTTTTTTTTTTTGCTTTTATTGCATTGTCGTGATAAACGACCTTAAATCTGCTTTTTATTTAACGCTGCATTCTAAACACACACAGAGAAAAAAAAAACGCATGCTTTCTTAAATTTCAAAAGCGGCCGAGTTACAATAAGTGAGTGCTGCCTCGACAGGAATCATCTGAGCCACGTTGTTCACACATTAGAGAGGCGAGTCGCTTTTTAAACGGAATATAGCAGCTGGTAGAAACTGTTGCAGGAGCACTTCATTCAGTCCAACGAAAAAAAGATGAAAAATCCGTACATTGAAAATAGTTTTGAAATTTCTAAATAGGATATTTTTTTTTTTAATCTGCGTAAAAGCAAAGTGAATATTTTAAATGAAGCCTCTTTGTGTTATTTTGTCTAAAACTTACAGGTTGGTTTTATTACCGACAGTGGCTGAAGGCAAGAATTAATTAACACTATGTGGCACTTGAAATCTTTAATAATCAATTAAAGACTGACCAATTTCAGCTGCAGCTGACATCAATTTACAGCTAAAATGCTACCATTTGCGTAAAAACCCTAAAATATATAAACGCCATGTAAAATAAGACATTTTGTCCTGTTGCAATCAAACACAAGTTAAGCTATTGAAGGAAGACGACTAAACAGACTCAGGATTTTTTGAAAAGAATACTTGATGTTGTTTATCCTCAATAAAAGTTAGTTTTCAGTTGTTTCAAAGGACATTCACATCTTGGATTGTATTTTTTTAGACTATAGGATATATCTCGAAAATGTATGTCGCTATTAAAACACAGAAAATAGGACTACAAAACTTTACTCTCGTTACAAAATGTAAAAGCTTGTACAACAGCTTTGGAATAAATTTGGAACAAGAAAAAGGCAGAGAAGTTTTGAGAAAACATGCGCATTCTGCTCCCCAAAAACAAGTCCAGTCAAACTAACTTGGCACAACCTGGAAACGTGCGTAAATCTTTTGCCAGATGCTGAACCTGTGTGGCTGCAAAAACTTCTATTCTTCCAGATATGTACATATTGTGAGTTATGTTATGTTTGAAGCTAAAAAGCAGCCTGCTAAATGTGCAGCTTATTAAAGATAAGTCGAGCAGGAGGAATGGCGATGCGCGCTGCAGCAGCAGATGATGTCAGGCTGTCACAGCGTGCTGCAGGCCGGAGACCAAAGTGCTGCTCTGTTTGCAGCACCTATCAAGCAGATGACAACACAGCTCTTAGTCTACAGTGCTTAATGGACTTTTTATGGGTTTGTCTTGTGATCGCATGACCTATGGCACCTTGGCCCTTCACTGGTTCTTGGCAAACTAGATCAGAAACATGCCGCCCTCCGAGTCTGGCGAAAGGGAGAAGAGACACAGATCCCCAAAATGAACGAGCATGCAACAGCTTTGCTTCATAGCTGGATGAAAAGAAAGTAATGGGGGAAAAAAATATGAAAATCTTCTCCAGTTTAGATCAGTTGGATGCAGCTTGGGCCCCCGCTTCTCTGCCGCATCCCGTCACTGCATCTTGCCCTGCAGCCAAGCACCAAAAAGCAGATGTCTGCTCAACATGTTATCGTGACTACTGAATCGGTGAGACACACGATGCAAACTAAACATTTGGGAGCTATTTAACTTACTAGTACTCGGAGTCATGGAGTGAAAATTGTGCAGTGAGCTTCCAAAGAGGTTCTGCAGAATGAATTTAGAATTTAAATTGGCATTTTCATCACGAGGAAATTCGAATTTCTCTGTGTCTGAGGTTTGGCTGCATTTAAATGCAGCTTTGTGGGATGCTGTATGTTTGGTTATTTAAGCTTTGTAGCTCATCTCAACCTACATATTAAGAACACAAGCTTTGAAAGGTGCAACTGCAACATGCTACTGAAAATAAGATGCAAATTTGTGAATTCTTGGTTGCTGAAGCTGTGTAGTGCAAATCAACTTCTATATACACAAGCAACCAAAAATAAAGCATTTAAGGTAGTACAACAAAAAGCAGAAATTGCTAAAGATGAAAATATACACACATCTCTTAATATTCAAGTTAACATCCAAATGGAAAGATGAGTAAATGATGGGACTAATAAAGGAGGAGATTGCAAAATAACTGTTCACAAAGCTTAAGACATCACAATTTGTCTTTATTTTCTAACAGTATATGATATGACACTCAAAGTAACAGTTCTGATGTCACGACAAACGACCCCTGTGAACACAAAATAAAACCCAGCAATGTAAAGAAATGATCACAAACAAAAAAAACAAAACGATAAATATCTGGAGACTAAACCGTATTTGCAGTTGTTCAGCCTTGACAGACGGTGAGTGTACTAATCTTTTGGATCCACTGCATACCTGACATTTCACGTGCTTCTAAAGCTGAAAGGAGTGTTTTATTATAAAAAAAGGCTAGATAGATCACACTGGAAACATGATTCCCGACAGGAGTTAAGTTTTCACATGATCTGTCACAATGTGGTGAGGCTCTCTGGGCTTCATGTCTTTCAGAACTTTGAAAGAAAAAAAGATAAAACAACATAAAAGTCCTTGTGGCGAAATGCACCCTAACTATGCTATGTTAGTCCTGTGCAGGGCCGAGGCTGTGGACGGGGTGGAGACTGACATTTTACTGTCCCTCCTCCTCACGCAGGAACTGGAATACGGAGGAGAAATCTTTAGCGGCGTAACCGCGTGCACACATCATACGGTAGATCTGATGGGTTAAGGAGCCGAGAGGCACCGGAGTCTTTGTGTTGGTCGCTGTGTTCTGTGCGAGGCCCAAGTCCTGAAAAAGAAAAGCAAACATGCATTAGAAAAACCGACGGAGCTGAAAATTAAATTTTGAAACCACCAGTCTGCACGCGCCGCAGAGAGTTTTCTCTACGTTGTAATATGTAGAGGCCTGATCCCGTTTACAAAGGGATGTAATGTGCTGCTGAATAGTTAGTCGGATTATTTTAAGTGTTTTATGATCCAGACAGAAACTCTTTTGTAACATTGTCACTGAAGTCCCCATCACATGCACAACATAAGACACAAATGACCACCGTATGATGGAGAAAATGCAAAAATAAATGCCTTTTTGGCTCCAGAAATAATGAGGCAACTAGCACTGAATGATTTCTCTACATTACTTACAGGAAACATGGCTATTACCACCATAACATGTGCTTATTCCTCCTCATATGTCATACCACAAGACTTAGAAACCAACCTTAGCCATCAGCTGGCTTGCGAAGCCTCCCTGGTAGTTATTCCCAGAGGGGACTCCCTCCATGACTCCTGGCACGGGGTTGTAGGTGTCACTGGACCAGCACCGGCCTGAACTCATGTTCAAGATTTTGGCCAGAAGTTTGGGATCAAGACCAAGTCTGTGAATGAAGACAAATTTGGATGTTACACTGCAGCTGCACGCTGTCATGAGTTGCCATCAATTTCATGTTATTCCGACCAAGAAAGCATCTTCACCTGATTCCCAAGTTCATCGTCTCTGAAGTCCCGATCATTCCAATGGCTAAAAGCATGTTGTTGCAGATTTTAGCAGCCTGTGAAGAAATGACAACGTATTAGCATTTGACAAACTGAAAATAAAGGGAATTTAAAATGTTGAAAATGTCGACTAATAAGCACTTTACAAATAAAAATAAAATAAAGAAACCATGTGTTCACACCTGTCCAGTTCCAACTTGACCACAGTGCACCACGTTAGCTCCCATGCAGCTGAGCAGTTCTTTGGCTGCAGTGAATTCCTCCTCTGCTGCTCCCACCATGAAAGTCAGTTTACCCGAACTGGCAGCTCCCACACCTCGGAAAGGGAAATCATGCTTACATACAATTGTTGGTATATACGCTGTTGGATTTTCTTAAAGTTTCAGAAGTGGAATGAAAATGGCAGATGGAAAATGGAAAGCAGACATATTTTGATTGTAGCAGCTTTTAGAAAGTAGCTGGATTAGTAGCTGCTATTCTTTATGTTTGTTTCAGGGTGGAAAGATTTTTTCTTTCATGCATTTCAGAAAAATTTAAATTCTGAATTTTTAGTGCCCTCCCCTCAAAGCAAAATGAGAGACCCATCAAACCTCTCAAAGCAGCATTTTTACGACCATTCTGACTTCCCCCAGTTCTCCTGACTGACAAAGCTTTCATTAGAACATCCAGGTGCAGGAAAACCGGGATACTTTTAGTGAGATACAACAGGGACACTATGAAATAAATAATGTGTCTTTGTTGTATGTTGATGTCCATTTACATTCCCCATCTGATGTCAGGCCCACAAAATCAAAAAAGGAAGACACACACACACATTTCAAAACTGCAGATAAAGTATCTATATAAAAAAAATACATTTTTGGACACATCAAATTGACTTGAATTAATATAAAAATGTGTTTTTCCTTCAGCTCTTGTATATATATTTCTAGATAATGACACAAAACTACAAAGTCATGTAAATAAAAGAATATCGTGCAAGGCAAGATACAAATAAAACGTAAAAACTGCAAAATTAAAGTGATGTACAACACATGAGCAACAGTTGGAGCTATTTCAGTATTAAAAGCAAGTCTGACCAACATTCCCTCCCAGAAGGAGTTTGGTCAGCCTCTGCTGTGATTTAGCAACAGCTGTTTCTGGATCTCTCCCTACATATGACGGTGCATTCAGGTTCATACGGGGTTAAAAACTTGGCAACCTACAATAACCAGGTGCGAGCCACATGGGTGCCAAGAAATTAACCAACCAACCAGTCTTATAATTAATCCTAAAGTTACAGGAAGCCAACGGAGGAGGGCTGAGATGGATGTAATACGTTTCCCCCCCTCCTTAATCCTTCTGAGCAGTCTGCCTGAAGCTGTGTGTATCAGCAGGAATCTCGAAAGACTTGTGCTGGGAGTTACAAGAGTCAAGCTGAGAAACGAGAACAGCGAGGACAAAGGCTTCAAAATTCATCCTAAAGAGGGGAAATGTTCCAAGTTGTAAACTGCAAATTTAACAATTGAGTTAACTTATTTAAGGTGACCCTTGAGATCTCAGCGCTGCAAAACAGGGCTGTAATGAACAATTACTTCCATTGTCGCGTATTTTCTCAATTAATCAATTAGTTGTTTGGTTTGAAAATGGTGAAAAATGTTGATCCGGTGTTTCCCAAAGCACAAGATGACATCCTCAAATGTCTTTTATTGTCCACAACCCAAAGACATTCAATTAACCGTCATAGAGGAAGAAAGAAACCAGAAAACATTCACATTTAAGAAGCTGCAATCAAAGAATTTAGACTTTTTTTTCTTAAAAAATGCCTCAAACTAATCAGTTGATAATCAAAACTTGTTGGTGATTATTTAATCGTTGACAACCAATTGATAAATTGACTAATAATTGTTGCTGTATGTAAAAATACAACAAGTTGCTTTGTGCTAACAGATAACTAGATCTTCTGTTTAAGTTTACGGACACAAAGTCTGAGATATCCAAAACTTTGTCCTCAGCATATCCCCGAAATCTGAAAAACTTAGAGAATAAATAAAGGAGAAATCTGAGATTGAACATCCATATGTAGTTAGGAAATTAACTACATATGAGGATAAGTATTTACCCTTCTGTAACACCTTTTCACAATAGTAGATATATAATTGATCATTTAATACGCAGCAATTTCTAAAGCAGGTCAAACACAGAATACTGCATAAAGTCAGCCACAAAAACAAAGACCTGTGAAAAAATGTTCAGCTCGTGTTTCAAAAGCAGATAGATACAGATTTATCTCATGACAACCGTTAAAAATCTATGATATTAAAACACACGCTGGTTAAAATACGTTAGAAAACGTTGACATTCAGTGAAAGTGTTTGTCTCAATCAGGCGACTGCAAAGTGACGCATTTGAAGTGACAACTCAGGCCTTAAACGACAGAAGTCCTGCTGTTTACCATCAAAGACAACTGAATAAATGATTACCAGTTCTAGAGAACTTAAACTTTGTCAATTATAATCCATTTGTTGTTTTGCAATTTCTACAAGAGACATGCTACGTTGTTTGAGGTCAGAGATTTTTCCAATTGTACTCTTGGAGGTTACCAGTGGAGCCCGGGCTGAGAAATAATCAAAGATTGCCGTTATCTCAACCGGTTCTCACGTTTTTTTCATCCAAGGAAGCAACTTTAAGACACATCCTGACTCAATTACATCCTCTTCTCCATGTGTGCTTTTATGTTTCAGCTTTAACCGCACTGCCACTGTACTTCTTTTGATTCCCTGTCCGACAACTGGTGATGTTCAAACTGCTTCATTTAGCAGCCTGGTGAGTGACGTGCCCTATCAAAGTGTGACATTCAGTTCAGTTTGCGTCGGTTAAACTGCTGCCGCCACACACAGAAGTTCAAGGCAGACAGCAGAGCGACTTTAATCCATGTGCACTACCACGGGACGGAAGCGTATAAATCATTACTAATCTTTAGAGCCAGACCATAAAATGGACCGACTTCAACTCAAAGAAAGTGGCTGTCTTGACATTGACGAGGCCAAGTTCAAACGGAGCTGTGTCTCCGTGTGGACCCCCAAGAAAAATCAGAGAGCACACACTGGTGCTGGAAGCGATGACACAAGCTGACCCACTTCTCCCTTTTACCTAAATGCTGCTGATGCTCTATGCTAACCAGAACTTCAGGAAAAAGCAGAACACTGAACTTGTCACCATAAATAAAATACAGAATACAAAGTTGCATTTCACATCCAAGTCTGTCCAGACTCGTAATATAAGTAGTGAAGACTCTGAAGGAACTTAATAGGTGCATACACAGGATTAGTGTCATCAATTCAGTATCCAAACATGTGAAAATGGTCACAATCTCCCTTTCTGTTCCTGAGTTATGACCAGATAAGTGCTTTTGCAGAACATTACGGTGTCACAGTGAAGCTGACCTTTGACACTTTGGATATTTAATGTCATCACTTTGACATTGTATATCATTAGACATTTATGTGTAGTTTTGTCATATTTAGTGAATGGACCTTTCAGTTATGGCCAAAATGGTGTTCTGTGAGGTCACAGCTTGCCTTTTTCATCTGGCTTTTTACTCCTGCGTATTACCGTTTTATAATCCCCTTCACTATGAGAAGCAACAACAACTACCTTAAGTTTTGCTTAAGACTTAGATGATGCAATAAAGCAGCCTTACTTGTTTTAATCTTTGATTTAGCCATTTAGCAACAGTGTTAGCCTCCCTGCATACAAACAATTCTCCAATTGCTATTCTGCAGCGGTACCATAGCTGCATCCTGGGCTGAACACCATCCAATACAGTTTTGATTGTTTCACAGAAATATAAACAAGCCATATTATGTTTTTTCCCCCCTATAGCAATATAGTACTTAGATTTGCAGCTAGACTGCTATGTCAGTGCTGGAGAGAAGGTCTGGCTGAGTGAGACTACAGCGACTTTCAACCACCGAAATCGAACCAGTTCATCCTCGAGTCTGTACTAAATTTGAAGAAATTCACTAAAGGCATTTAAGAGATATTGCCTTCAAGAGAATAGGAACCTGAGAACGCAGTGCCTCTAGCCAAGGCTGTTGCCAGCATGGAGGCATAAAACATGTGCAAAACAACTTCAAACAGAAAATCAAGAGAGTTTCTAATCAACAGAATGCTGAGACGCAATGATATATTAATTGTTGCCATGGTTGGCGACCACAACTTGCTGAAGTCAATAATCAAGCAGCAGTGCTGGAAAATGACCTAAATATAAATGTTGTAAGTATAGGAGTTTTGATTGCATGGTAAACATATTAGTGCAGACATCTGCCGTTAACCCTGCAGCATTTCAGAATGTGGTTGTGTTTTATAAATGCTCCATGCGTGTGCTCAAACTGGTGTTTTCTTAATTTGCTTGGGGCCACCACAGGAATGACTATTTGATAAATAAAACCAGTAAGCAAATAAATTCACAGATAAGCTATTTTCTCAAATAGAGTCTTAGGATCTACACTCGGTTGCCATGTTATAAATAGTCAGTTTTTGTCCTTCCCATTTATGTAAATGAGCACACACAAAATATTAGAAACAACACTTAGTATCATGTAAGGTAACTGTATAAACAGAGACGGCATTAAGTTGAACCAACATACTTCTATACACAAGCAAAAACCGAACATTCCATTAGAAGTGCTTGTCACACAGTCAAACTTCTTAAAAATGGTTCGTCTTCCAATTTGGTTGGACAACACTCATGCAAACAAGTTTGTTTCTAGCGGGATGTGGCTTTGCAGCTGCTGTAGTTGAGGGTATGTGACACCTACCTGATATGATGCCAGCTCAGTGCATGTGCTTTAAGATCACACAGCAAACTGGGGCAAAACTGTACAACTTACCTCCTGATACAGGTGCATCCATAAAAACGGCCCCCATCTTCTCAGCAGCGGCGGCCATCTCTTTTGAAACAGCTGGATCAATGGTACTGGAGTCAATGAGCAGCGAGCCTTTCTTTACCTTTCTGTTGAGAAAAGTACAGTTCAGTTGAATCTCAGATAAGCGTGTGACATTATAATACAGCTATTCAAAGAGAACCAAAGCTTACTTGAGAATGCCGTTGGGTCCAGTGTACACTTCTATGACATTGGGACTAGAGGGGAGCATGGTGATGATACGGTCGGCCTTGTCTGCTACTTCAGCAGGATTATCCACAATCTGAAAGAGCAGGCAAAATCACAGTGTTATCAGAGAGCACACAAGGTGAAATTTAAAAATAGCAATGATGTGCATTGTGCTACCTGGGCGCCCAGCTCTTGCAGTTCCTTGCAGGACTCTGGGAAAACATCTGTGGCAATGACTGGGTATCCGTGCTTCAGCAAGTTCTTTGCCATTGGGTTTCCCATATTTCCCAGACCAACAAACCCCACCTGCGTCTTCGAGGCCATAGACCTTGTGGAGACTACAACATAACCACCAAATGAATGAACAACAATACACATTGTCCCTGTTACACATACAGGAAGAAACTGTTTAAATTTAAATATCTGTTAAGGTTGGAATTAACTATAAAATCCTTGTTTAGCAGTGCCATTTAAATTTCACTGACATTTAAACCCAGTGTGTTTGTCCTTCAGTATCAAAGTCATCTGATTTAATGATGCCAAACCCTTCTCAGTGTTTACTTAAGCATACCTCAATAAAATGGCGTTCTTTCTTGAGACATACAACCATATTTCAATCTTAAAAGACATGCCTCCAATAAATACCTTCAAATACCTCCTGGAGGTTCTTTTCCCACCAAAAAACATATAATGCTGCATATTTGTCTCTGGGATTATTTTAGTATTGGTTGTTTATCCATAACAACAACCTTAGTATGCAACCTGAAAGAAGATGTATTTATTTTTCTGATTAACTATTTCATGTTTTGGCTATAAAATGTCAGAAAATGGTATATAAAAAAAAAAATAATAATAAAAAAAGCCCATTAGTGTTTTCCAAAGTCCAAGATGTCAACTGTCTTGTTTTGACAAACTATTCAGTTTATTATTGCAGAGGAGAAAAGAAACCACAAAATATTCACATTTAAGAAGCTTTAGTTTTGTTTTTTAAAGAAATCACACTGTTTGGTCTTGAAAATGTCAGAAAATGGAGAGAAAAAAAAGTTCAAAATGACATATGTCCTGTTTAGTCCACAACCCAATGATATACATCCATCCATCCATCCATCCATTATCTATACACCGCTTAATCCTCACAAGGGTCGCGGGGGGGCTGGAGCCTATCCCAATGATATACAGTTTATTATTATTATTATTGAACAGAAGCAACGAAACCAGAAATGTTCACACTGAAGAAGCTTCTTATTGCACAAATTGATTAATGAATCTGCTATTTGGTCTTTAAAATGTCAGAAAAAAGCTCAAGATGGCAACCATAAGTATCTTATTTTGTCCAAAACCCAAATATTTTCAGTTTACTGCCATATATGAGAAAGGAAACCAGAAAACAATTAAATTCAAGAAGCCAGAGATTTGACTTTTACTGTCCTGTAAAATGACTTAAACTGATTAATCGACTATCTAAACAGTTGACAACTAATCCATTAAACGACTAATAGTTGCAGCTCTACCTACATAGAGGTTGCAGGGGGGGAAGTTAAAGGACATTTCATTTATATTTTTACATTTTCCCTCTCAGAAACTCCTGTGAACTTTGCTACCAAAGTGCTACCAAGAGCCAGCCCCTCTTTCTACAAAGTGCAGGTGACAGATATTACATAATGTGCCTGAAATAAAGAGACGGGGCACAGTTGGACACTGGGCCAAATGAACTATTCCAGTAGAGACACACTGGGCGTTAAAACAGAGCTCCAACAAACGACATGAAGGGCAAGCAGTATGTAATTTTTAACAGAAAACCTCCTCGAAGCAGTAAATAGTTAACTGGACCCTGTGCAAGAGCAGCTAAAGGCAGTGTGGCGAAAATGAACTCAAACTTCTCTGCCAAACATTTCGAGCGAAAAACAGTGTTTTTCGTGGCACAAAGCGCCTTCGAACAACAACTTGAGCTCGTGAAGCGAGCACGGCGGCTCGAGAGACACACACTCAGAGGATTTCCTTACCAAGTGCAAAGTCAACATGCCTGCAACACCTTCCCACTAGATAGCGAGACCCTCTCAACGCAGCGGCCATGCTTCTTTCCTCTTGACCTTACGTGTGACGTAGCGCGACGTAGATCAGTGACGGCCTTCCCGCCAATCAGGAAGCAGACGTGCGCAGCACGGCCTCCCGGTGTCAGCCAATGAGCTGCGGGGGAGGGCCTAAGCTGTCTGTGTGTGCTTCCATATCATGAGACTGACAGACAGTGGAAGCTCATATGTTTTCCAACAGGTTCCCTTACAGCTCTAACTGGCATTGTTATAAAAAGAAAAAAGTGAGAGAAGTATTTATGTCATGTACTGCAGTAAATGTAGCAGTAAGACAGTTGAAAAATACTTCATCAGAAGTAAAAAAAAAAAAAAAAAAAGAGGGAACAAATTTTATTGTTCCAGGGAATTACACAGGTTATAGCACATGGGTACAGATGAAACAAGGAAAACAAGA